CTACGCCGGCCTCTGGCTTTTCAGGACCGGTGCCAGCTATATGCCTCACCTGGGCTCCCCGCCGACCTCCCCGGCAATGGTGGCGGCCCCCTTCCTGCCTTGAAGGGCGGGAAGAATTTAAGAGCGCCGAAAATGTGCTGGCTACTGGTTATTGAAATCGGTGCCAGTGTGCCAAGGCCGCCCTCGCCGCCGTCCCCGTGCGGCCGGAAAATACTTAAGCTACTAAGTTGCGCTCGCACACGACTTTGTTGGGAAATAATAATACGATGGGAGGCAGGAGGGGGGGGGGGGCATGGAGCAGTGTTTGTCTGAGATAGCAAAGCTTTATTAGCCAGGGGGCGGCTTGCCTCGGCCCAGCCAGCCTATCTGTGGCGCGGCCGATTTGTCAGAGGCTGGCTGGGTCAAAAGTTGGTTCCCTGATCCAGCAGGCGGTGGCGGCGGCGGGCCAGCGGGCCGGACCCCCAATCCGCATGCAATAATTCTTCACTCAGGTCGGATCCTCCCCCTCCCCCTTCCCTTTCTCCTACTCCCCATCCCTATGCCTCTCACTCTCACACCCCCTCCCCCCGATTGGGATCCACGTTCAAATAATGACGCAGGCTGGGCGTCTCTCTCTCACTCTCTCTCTCTCCCCCTCTCCCTCTCCCCCTCTCCCCTCCCGTTCCCTTTTCCTCTCCCTCTCTCCTGCCCCTTCCGGAGGCGTCCGCGCGGCTACCGATGCCGCCCCGACCGGCTATCCATCCGGGGGCAGCTTTGATTTCACGGTAATTGCTCGAAGAAGAGTTGGACGGGCGCTCGGGGCGGACAGGTTGCGTTGTCTCACTCGGCTTCGAAAACCGCGCGCACTACTCTGGCGCCCTCCCTCTCCCATCTCCCCTCCCTCCTCCCCCCCTCTCTCTCTCTCTCTCGCACGGCCCATTTCCTCGTCTCATGTCATTAAACACGCGTCTTAATTCTCATCATGACTAATTGCAGAGAGTTAGCGTACCCGGGGGACGGACGGGAGGGGCGGGGCGGGTCACCAGAGTCCGACGAGGACACGGCCGTCGAACTGCCGTCTTGCAGTAGTGATGTTTATACGGCGTAGCTGAGCGACCACTTGAATGTTTCTGCGGGTTTATTGATTGTCGTAATGCTGCACCTTCGGTAACGTTTAAATTCCAAATCAATGATACAGTCGTACCCAGTTTTTCATCAGGTATCTACACTTTTTTTTCTCCCGCGCACTCGCATCGTGCCGGAAGTGGGGTCTAGCTACACTATCCGGTGCGGAAGCCCCGCCCCCGGCGGCGCGGTGGCCCGGCGAGTTGTCGGTGAGCGTTGTTTCCTGCCTTGCCGCGCGCTACACGCCCCCTGTCTGTCGGTCGGTTTTGTGTTTCGCTGGTTGGGTGTCCCGCTGCCGCGCTGCCGCGCTTTGGCCGATGGCTGTTTGGACTGTCGATTTATCGGCTCGGCCGCCGCGCTGACCCAGTCCTGAGCCGGCCGCCGCATCATGGGTGCGTTTCGCAACACAGTTGCTCGCGCTCCCTCGAGGGACGCGGCGTGGCGTAGCGTGGCGTAGCGCGCCATCCAATCAAGCGCTGCAGGGCGTCTTTGTTGCCGGCGGGGTGCGCAGCCAGCCAGCCTCGGGCTTCTCTCGGGCGCGGCGGCGTGCCGCGGCGCGTCGTGATGCACGTCAAGGAGGTGTCGTTATTGTAGCCCCGGGGTGTGTCTGACGCCAACGTATCGCGTCGTTGGGGCGCACTGGAAACACCGAAAACACCCACAACTGAGCAACATTCACGCGCGCTTGGTTTTTCAAGTGCGGTTTTTGTTATTTTTATTTTTGTCCCCGTGTTTTTTTTTTCATTGTCATTGCGTCTCGATGATCAAAAACCCACTCTGCTCCACTTATCGTTACACTTCATGATATGCATTCCACTCGCTTAACTTCACTTGCTACATGACTAATTTGCGTTTTTGTTCAGTCGGGCAGTTTATACGGCCCTCGCGTAGTGTCACGCGGGGCGCAATGGCCATCATTCGCTGATTCAGGGCCGAGCCTCCCATTGTGCGGGTCGCGTTAGCAGCGTTAGCATGACCGTTGCTCTCCTCCTATTACATTTTTTTTTCGCCCAGCCCGTTGCGGTGGCGGCGGAGGCTTACCGCTGTCCCACACGCCGATGCCTTTTTTGCTGCCGAAACAATATAAAACGAGTGCTGGTGGAAACACGGCAAAAGGCCAGCCTCCTCGCGAAGAGCCGCATTGTTGCGTCGTGGCTTGGCTCTGCAATGCACAATGCCCACGACGACGAAAACTTTTTGTGGCGCCGACCCCCCATTTTTGTGCCGTGTTTTAGCGGTCGGCCACGTCAAGCACGCCACCCGCCGCCGAGCTCCGCCGAGTGTGCTCATCCTCACCCACTGCCTCAACATGAGAGACATGTCGACATGTCTCTAGATAAGGTTTTACAGAAAATTATGTGAAAGTCGTTTTTGATTCGAGAAACTTACCACGAATTTTTAATTCCTCATTCCTCTCATTTCTCTCATTAAATTAAACATTATTTTCTTATTAGCAGCTAAAATACTAACTTGATTATTATAACAACAGACACCAACGCATCTCTCAATATACGGCAAGCGGGCAGCGTTTTGTGCCGCACTAATTTGCCGCTGCGCTGTATGGCACTCGCCGCGATAAACCGGCAGCGTTACTTTAATCCGCGCGCGATTTACGTCCCGCGTCCCCTCCGTAACGGCGACACTGTTTGGCAGTTCAATTTTGGGTGAATCAGCTTATCGGTTCAATTATCGTTGGTTCGGTCGGGTGCGGCCCGGTGGCGGCCTCGCGCGTATAGCACAGCAGCCACCGGTGAGTGTCTCCCTCTCCCTCTCATCTCTTTCACTCTTTCAAACAAGAAGAGGCGCACATGCTGGTTCTTTTCCTCACACTAAAGTTACTTCTATCGCAAGGCGACCGTGTCGTCCCTCAGTCCACCCTTCACGTTCTCTTCCTGCTCCATGCGTAACTCTGCCTTTCTCGCTGACTACCCCTTCTCTCTCTCTCTCTCTCTCTCTCTCTCTCTCTCTCTCTCTCTCCTGAAGCAGCTCTCCGAGCCACGGCTCGCCCGTGTCCGCCGCTCCTGACTGTCTCTGTCCCCGCGCTCTCAGTGACTCTCCCCGCCCGGCCGCACTCCTCCAGCGCGCGCAGCCCCGCCTTGTCCCTAACGAGGTGTGTCGTGGCGGCGGCGCTGCAATCCGTTTCTCGTTGCGCCAAGGTCGCCATTGCAATTAATAACTCGTGAGTTATGCGTATCGCCAGTAAGAATGGTGCCGACAATTGGAGCGCAGCACTGGCAGCAGTACCGCTGCCGAAAAAGTGGCTGGAATGATAAGCCCCTAATAGTCATGCTGATGAATATTGCCATCACGTGCAGGCTACTTTGAATTTGAAAATGGTTATATGCTGCTACACTAGCGGCCCGTACTATGTCTTTGTTTAATTTTGATGACGAATGTTTAAATTTGTGAGATGTATCCTGAAAATCTGAGGAGTTTTCCCTCGAGAGTTCTTCAAAGTTCTCCATTTTTCCTCTCCTCAAAACTGTTTCTTGTTGTTGTTTAACAAACCTTTTTCTTACCGTGCTCATGGCAAAATATTTTAACAGCCAATATGGTTGTGAAGTGTTTTTTTATCATTGATTCTTATTTTCAGCTCTATTATTTATTGCCTTTTGTGGCAGTGTGCGCGAAACGGGGCTGCACACTAAATGGCGAGGGACAATTTTTGTACGCAGGCTGGATGTGTCTTTGAGCACATCTAAACCAAATGCAAATTTGCATCCAAATCACATACAAAATATAGCATTTGTACCTAGCCTAGGTACACTTTGTACCTCTGTACAGACAAATTTGTATCTGATGAAGATGTGCTCAAAGACACATCTAACTAAGGTACAAAAATTGTCCCTCCCCATTTAGAGTGTGTGCCAGCGCCTGCAGAGCGCAACGTAGGCTGTCCCGCAACACGCGCGCGCTGACGGGTGGCCTACCCTGGAACTCACAGGCGCTAGCCCTCTCCTCAGTGGACGGGTTCCCCGGCGAGTCTTTCATTCCTATGTCAACACTGGTAAAACAAGTGTGCAATATTTGCACACCAACGTGTGCAAGTTGTGATTTTGCACATTACATGGTGTTTAACTCAAGTTGCACACTTGCGTGGTGTGCAAATTTTAGACGTTTGGTAAACGTTTAAATTCTGCACACTTGGACACACACAGTTCTATGCTGTCGATAGGGAACCATATGGTGTGCAGCTGCTATACGTTTCGGAAGTGTCGAAAGTTTAAACACCAATTGACGTATAACATAGTTAGACACCACAAAGTGTCGAGAAAATGCACACTTGAACTTAGACGTCAATTGACGTGCAAAATTAAACACTTGTTTTACCAGTGAACGCAGATCCCTTCCAATAGCGATGCCATTAGAAAATTACCCCTCTGTTTACGTGGAATTTGCCTTTTACTGCCTACAGGGTACAACCAGTATTGTTATGCTTGACCAAAAGTATGGGGACTATGGGCTACCCTGATCACCACAGGTTTTAGATTAAAGCCCCTTGCCCAAAAAGCGTGAACTCCTTACATTACCTTACCCCTCTCCCCCTTACCTTTTTCTGCACTCAAACTAAAAAAAAAATCGCTATCATTTATTTCCAGCTTTAAGTTGTCATTCACGTTTAATTTCAGCTCATGGATCGATAAAATGATTCCCACTCGACAGTAAAAAGTAATTTTCGTTCGAAAGAGAAAAAATATTTTGCACGTTCAGTGACAGGAGGTAATTTTTATCCGTGCCAGAATAGAGTGTAAATTTTACCTCACCTGGTTTGAAATTTCCATATATTTTTAGAGGGCGCCCTGTCGGTATTCAACTCTGCGTGTGTCTGCTTGCAAAGAGTTTCAAGGTGCGCGTCGCCTCTCCTTTGAGTCTCACGGTGTGTCTTTCCGTTGCAGGCGGCCTCATGGCGTGGCGCGGCGCCGGGTAACGCCATGGACGCCATGAGGAGGGTGCTGGTGCTGGCAGTGCTGGGCCTCGCCGTCTTGCACAATGGTGAGTACGCTCAAAGTCTCTCTCATCTCATCATGCTGATTTTTTTTATTATGCCGTAACGGAAAATATTCCGCACCTTTAGTACTTTGAGAACACGCAACGGGCGCGGATTACTGTGGTGTGTTGGTCTGAGTGTGTGTGTGTGTGTGTGTGTGTGTGTGTGGAGGGGAGTGGGGTCTTTTTTTCTGATGTCCCATCGTTCGCCTGAATGCCATCAATCTATTCATCTGTTCGCTGTCTATCTTTTGAAAGGCGCTGTCGGGATGGCGCCGGAGAGCAAGCACCGGACTTTGCTCGACGCTCAAGTGGGACGCAACAAGCTTTTCCCCGACGAGCACTCGAGACCATGTGCAAAAGGAAGGGGTGGGAGGAGGAGGAGGGGGCGCTGGAGGGGTTGGAGGGGAGTCGGTAAACTGACTGACTGACGTCGCTACAAACAAGTAAACAACGCTGCTGGGCGCTGTGACATATTTTCTCCCCGCTCCCGCTCTCCCTTTCCGTCTTTGCTCGTCGTCGCAATACCGTCAGTACAGACAGAGGGACGGCAAGCAAAAGTAGTTTCCACGACATGTCATATCACATGCAGAGCCAGGAGGTGGGGTAGGCGGAGGGTGTAGCTTTTTAAAGCAGTGCGGCCGGCAGAGTCGCAATGGCAGAAAGTTAGTTTTTTTTCACTCCAGTGCCGTTACCATCGTTTCCTCCACCATCCCCCAGGTGCGCACAATGTCCATGCGAGCCGCACTTCCCGTTGCGCTGCAATGTGCCGTACTGAGAATTAGGAATGGAATGGGGATGGAGTGGCTGTTCGACGCCACGACGATGTGATATGCCTTTCGCGGAGGCGGTGGCGGTGGCTTGTGTGCGTCAACCGACATTGGCACGTACAGACGGTGGTGAATATTTCGCTCGCGAAAGTTCCGACTCGATTAATATGGCATTGGCCTCTGACTCCTTGCGAAATC